ACTGGGGTTATGGACGAAAGAAATGCATTATAAAAGTGCTTTCACGATATCCCAAATATTTATAGACAATGAAGGACTTTTGAAGTTTAGTCACTGCTTTAGGAAATGTGGCAGCCAGTTTGCTCACAGCAAACTCCAACAATCAGCAACATGTTGGTGGACCAGATAATCCCTCTTCAGTGATGTTGCTGGAGGAATAAGTATTCCCAATACCACCAATGGGGCATTCCTGTTTACCAGTGTCTGCTGACACACAGCGGCTCTCACAGCTGCACATGTGCACACATCTGGCAACAAACATAGCCCGCTAGTTTTAAACCAGTGCTCGCTGAATGGAAAATGTGTAAGGAGTTTCTATTGGAACAATTCAAGCAACAAAGCAAAGGGATTGTGTTTTATCAAAAGCCTCTCTGGCAGAGCTGCATGTTTACAAAGCCAGATGAAGTGGGCTGTGGGACCGTGAAGGAAAGCGCAGGACGTTTCTTTTGTCACTGGCTATCACAATGAAAAATTGTGTACTCGAGAAATTGCGCAAGTTTATAACTAAGCAAATGTGGCACCTATATTTGAAAGCAGGTATTAACCAAATCTGCGTAGCAAAAGGTCATTGAGCTTTCCGTCAGTATTGAGTAAAATGTTGAACCCTAAAGTAGAGATGAGATTAGAATAAACATATAGCAATAGCAACTTCCTGCAACAGTTTTAGGAAGAAAACATCCTTCATAAACCTATTTAAGATTGATTTGAGGATGTTCCAAGTACAATATGTCCATCCAAAATTACTTTATAATTTATTTAGACTTAATAAAGTTTTTGCTAAGCCTCTGCATGTAAGTCTGCTCATTAAAATCGATACAAAATCAAGGAAGCAGAAAAGCGCCTGGCCACTAAATATGGTACAGAGAGTACTCATAAAAGGAAAAGTTAATTTGTTGGCAATATAACGTATATTATTGCAGGAACCAGTGCTATGCTCCTTGTATCTGCTTAAATGCTATGTATACAGAAATCAATTATCAGCCTGTTAAGTTTGCATCCAATGTTAAATAGGTAGAGCAATAGGGGTGGAATATGCAGTTAAGTGAGGCACTAAAATCATGGACAGGATTGATAAGACACAAAACTTGCCAGCTAAGCAATGATGCATGAGAGATGAAGCTATTTTTGTCATCATCAATCATTCTGTGATGAGATGTAGTAAGGGTTGAAATTCTTCCACGATGCCTGAGCTTCAAAGGAGATGATCTTTTCGCAACGGTGTGACATTTCAGTTTGAAATCAGCCCATCCCTGGGGTGCCAATTAATGGTACAAAAAACAAATATGCTGGGGTCTGCTGGAAGTCTGAAATAAAAACAAAATGCCAAAAATACTAAGCAGGTTTGCATTCTGTGAAAAGGTCTTGACCTGAAACATTAACATCATTTCTCTGCCCATCAATGCTCTCAGACCTGATGAGTATTCCCAGTATTTTCTGTTTTTATGTCAATTGGCATTGTTGTGTCAGACCAACGTATCTATTTGTTCACCACAAGTTAATCTTGGTGAATATGTACCGACTGCTTTACTCGAAGGTCAGCATGTAAATGGTATTTAATTTAAGATGTTCTTAAGGAATTCACTTTTACAGTATAACATGTATTGCATTTAAGATGGTAACCTAAACTAATGGTGACAATTTCTTAAGCATAGAAACATAAAAATCATTTATGGCATAGATGGGATCGTTTTCGCCCTTTGTGTCCACACTTGACTAAAAAGAACCATTCACCCCCCCCCCACCCTTTGAATTTTCACACCGGAGCTTATGGCAACTCAAGCACACGCCCATTTGTATTTAAATATGATGGGGGTCAAGGTTTCTGCTTTTACCACCCTTTCAGATCGTGAGTCCCACCACATGCTGCTCTGTCCCCACACTCCAGCATGTGATAACTACCCAGACTGATTTGCCAGTTGAATGGGCCAACCCTCTTTTTGTCTGGTGTGGAGTTGAAATAATTGCAGCTTTATGAGAATGAGTTATCCTTTAAATGTTTTATTAATTGACAACTTTAGTTCCTTAGTTGACTGGGGGACAAGGAGGTAGAGATGGTGAGATTCCAGGCAAAATTTAAGTTCTGGGCAGGAACTTTCAACCGCCATCTACTTGTCCCACTGTCAATTGCGGGACTAAAGTAGTCAAATAATAACCATTTTTAAAGGATGATTCATTCGCAACTGCAATTATTTCAGCTTCATGCAGGATTACAAAAAAAGCTGCTGTCAGATCTCTCAATCTGCTGCCTCCTCAACTGGAAGACTCTGCCCTTTGATTCCATGAGTTGTTGATTTAGTGCACGCTCTGCCTATGTGGGACCTTGTCAAAAGTCTTGCTAAAATCAAGTAGGCTACATCAAATGCATACCCTGAAGGACCCTCCTTCAGAAACTCTCAACCATGTTTGGCAGACAGTACCTTTTACTCTGCACATCCATCCTGACTGTCCTTAGTATTCCGTGCCACTTTTGTACCGTCTTTTCAAATTCTTTCCACTAGTTTTCTCGTTGCTGAGGTTGATCTGACTGACTTATAATTACTTTGGCTATTCACTCCTCCCTTTCTGTGACTTGGGAAAGCTAGTAAAGGAGTAGTTATCCTTCTACATGAATCTGTGAATCTCCATTGTAGTACTTTAGTGTGTCTTGAATGAGTTATCACTTCCTTCATCTATCAAGAAACTTCTGTGTTACTCTTTAATATTAAAGGATTAAAACTTATGGACCTGTAGGTGGCTGAAGAGTAAGTATATCGCTATATTTCAGATGTAAAAATATGCAAAGCAGAACTTTGCACTGTTCTTTGGCTCTTGTTATAGTTTTGATCATAATTGGGCAGATCATATGTTGAAGGACCACTATTGATTTGCTCAAAGCATAGTTCTAAATCTTCTCCTTGTCTTTTGAGAGCCTGAAAGGAGCAGGAATGTGTAATGAAATATTAGGACACTAGTAATGGGGTTGAGGAACTTATCAGCCATGATTAAATGGCGGATCAGACTCGGTGGACCGAATGGCCTAATTGCTGCTCCTATGTCTTACTGTCTTATTAATTCATAATATTGCTTCATCTATATTGAATGAACAAAATTATCACCTAACTAATATTATTTATCTTTCTGTCATAACCAGCATACGAATATACTACAGTATTTGGCCAGAAAAAGAAATTATCTGATGCCTCATTTTCCACCCTGCCTAGTTGTCCTGCTACTGTAACAATGCTCACCAACGTTCCTTTAGACTTTTTTTCAAAATTATCCTTTGTCCTCCCCAAATTGTATCACCTGAAACTTCTCCAGACTGAATTCCATCTATCGCTTCTGCTTACCTGATCTGTCTATTGATATTGCTTTGAAATTTTAAAATTTTGTAACAGTAAAAGGTTCTTCTCCAAATTAATGTTTGAGACTTAATTGAAGGGTTCTCATTCAAAACCAGATTCCTAATTTTGTTAAAGGCAGGAACAAAAGTTAAATTTAAGTTTAAATTGCTATGTGAAGCATTATTAAAAGGATATGTTCCCCTTCATTTGACTTGCCATTAATGCATGGGTACGATAACTGGCTGCCACTAACTTGAGAAGCTAGCAAAAGGTGACTACCAAGGAAATGCTGACAAAGCCTTCATAAAGTTGACATTTTAGGCTTTCAATCAAGGTTTGTGTGTGTAAAACATAAGTAGCTATATGGACTATGTAACTTAAAGTCTGTTGTGCACTATCTATCCCTTGCCTTATAATGGAAGAACCCAATACTGTCAATTAAAGTCACCAAGAAAATCAAATGTTGAAGGCACAAAGTTGGTAGGGGATTCAGTAGCATGATCTCTTGGAAAGGTTTGGAACTTTTTGATTTAAAAACTTTGCATTTTTAACATTTAAATGTTTTAATTTGTACAATTAAAAGCTTTTCCCTCTGCTTTTCATTGGAATTAATTTTCTCTTTCATTCATAGCTACAGCAAGATTCATTGCTATCTATTGACACCCCACTTATTGCCATTCATCCCCCAGCCCAAAAAAAATTACATAGTAAGGAGCGCTTCAATCTTTAATTTGCAAACATGTTGATCAACCAAGTTATAGCAATTCATTGGTTTCTTGTTTCTGTGAAATTGATGCTGACTTGAATGAATTCCAGATGTGCCCTTGTTTTTTTTTCTGAAGAGTAGATTCTAATCAGATTCTGTAAATGTGAAAAAAACAAGCAGAGAGAATTTTCATTTACATTATATTCATAAACGAAAACTGCTTACAACTTATAAATTGTTGTGAAAACCCCCAGTACTGAGATATTCGGTATTGAATGCAATATGTGCATTGGCTGCTGACGTTGCAATGAATTCAACATTCATGACAGGGCACAACCTAGTAATTTGCTTTCTTGAGAAACTGATACTTTTATTTACCACGCCATTGCTTTTTATCTTGCTGGCATAGTGGGTGACCAGTAATTTATTATGGCAGATTCTAATAAATGCTGAAAAGTGTTTATAAAATCATGAGGGACATAGATAAAGTGAACAGCAAGGGTCTTTTCCCGAGGGTGTGGGAGTTCCAAACTAAGGGGCATATATTTAAGGCTTAGAGGAGAAAGTTTTAGAAATGACATGAGGGGCAACATTTTTTTACATAAGTGGTGGTTTGTGGGGGAAATGCACTGCCAGAGGAAGTGGTGGATGCAGGTACAGTTACAATATTTAAAAGACATTTGAATAAGTTCATGAATAAGAAACGTTTGGGGGGGGATATGTGCCAAACGCAGGCAAGTGGATTAGTTTAGTTTGGGAAAATGTTTGGCATGGGCTAGTTGGACTGAAGGGTGTTGTTTCCATGCTGTGTGTCTCTATATTGGCAGTATTCAATATCAATTGTCCTGCTCTGTTCACTAAGTATATGTGATTGTCTTGCTTCCTTCTGAAGCTTTTATTTTATACTTAGCATCTAATTTTCTCTTTTTCAGAATAATTTGCAACTATGGCTACAGAATCCGGCACGGATTCTGAATTGACGAACGTTCAGCAGGATCCCCCTTCACAGGAGCAGCAGCCTGTTGTGCAACAAGAGCTGGCAGCCAATAAAGAACATAAACCAGCAGATACCAACACTAACCAGCAAGATCAGGTGATTGCAGGCACTGCTTGCAATTTTTTATATACATGCAGGAGCCAAGCTGTATCTCGTCTTTTAATTTTAGATGTGTATAAATGAGCTAGATGACAGGCTACCATGATGCCTGGAATCTTGGTTTCTCTCAGTGCAACAAAAGTACACTTGAAATTTGGGTGTAGGTTTTGAGGGGTGCTTGGTGCATAAGCATCAGTTTTAATACAAGGAGCAACAGTGCTAGAGAACCGAAGAAAACTACGAATAAGTCGAGGAGATAAGCTATTTGGATGCAAATATATAGACACACGGTAATGGAGAAATTTAATGAGATGACAGATGGATGAGTTTCTACGAGTCCGCAATTTCTTCCCCAGGGAAATAAAAGAAGTGAGGAAATTGTTGAATCTGTTAGTCGTGGTCTTCCAAAACCCTTGACTCAGGAATTGTCCCCTTGAGGTGGAAAAGTGCTAGTGTTTCTTCATTATTTGATGAAATAAAAAGAGAGAAACCCCGAGTTCACAACCTATTTTAAAGACAAAATGACTGAGGAACTGGACAAAATTTAGTTACTCAGAAAGCAGCATGAATTTGTAAAGGTTCAAACATGACTGAAGTGCCTTTGTTTTTTTTTGAGAATTCAACAACCATGACTGTTAAGTGAGTCAATGATGCTATTAATAAAACTGCTGCCAGGTATTCAGCAAGGTAGCACTGAACATACACATGAGCAAAAATGCAGGTGCATGGAACAGAAAGCAATCTGCTCAGATGGAAAAATCTCCAGATATACTCAGCAGATCAGGCAGTAACTGGGGAGTAAGAGAAAGAGATTAATATTTCAGGCTGTAACTTTTCATCAGGTTTTAAGCAAGTACTAAGGGAGGGAAAGGCTGTCTAGGCTGGGGGAATTGGGAACAAAAGGGAAGGTCTCTGATAGGGTGGATGGCAAGAGAAATTAAAGGACATAAGTGATACTTGAGTATGGCAAAAGGGGAATGCGAATGAGACACTTAAAGAAATTAAAAATGCATCTAGAGATGGTGTAAATGGGAATTGCAGAATTGTCAATGACTGTCACGTGGAAAAAAATGAGAGCAAATGGTCTGGTCTGAATTTGTTGAACTTTGCATTGAGTCCAGAAGCTGTACAGTGCCTGATCTTAAGATGGGGTGCTGTTCCTGAAGCTTACATTGAGGTTCATTGTAGCTATGTTAGGTCAAAGATGAAGGTGGAGCAGAGCATTAAAATGACAGATAACTGGAAAATCGAAGTCACACTTGTTGACTGACTGGATGTGTTCTGCAAAGTTGCTATTCAATCTGCTTTCCTGTGCTGAAGAGAATGTGTTTTGTGCAGTGAAGACAGTAAAATTGCACTGCAAAAAATTGTTATTTTACGCAACCATGGCTAGCATTCTGGAATATGCAAAGGATGGAGGTCAAAGGGCACTTGTGGCATTTCCTCTGAATGTTTGGGGTGATTGGGGCGGGGAGGTCTCTGTGATTGAGGAGTTGACCAGGATCAGTCCCTTCAGAATAGCAAAAGAGGAGTGGACTGATGATTGGTAACATTGCGGTGGAGGTGATGGAAATGATAGGGGATTGAATGCAGAGACCGAATAATGAAAAGCCTTATTGTGGTCAATGTACAGCTGTAACATGGATTGGGAGGGAAAGGAGTGAGTGCAGAATATCAAATAGAACTGGTACAGGTGAAGCCTTATCAATCTTGGGAAAGGTGTCAGTGCGAGATTGTAAGATCAGGAGAAAGAACAATGTAGACTTAAATTATTTACTATCTTAGACGCATGGATTAATGATAATGGACATGGACCATTGAATGTGCCTGGTGTTGTTCCCCAAGGATCTATATTGAAACCTCTGGTTTTCATCATACTTAGCAAAAACTTACATGATGGAACAGAGTACTAAGCTAGATGACACAATAAATAGCATAGATGGGAACCAAACATTGCAAAGGAATATTAGTAGATTAAATAAATGAATAAAGATTGTGGCAGATGAAGCTCATTACAAGCAAGTGTATAGGATTATCCACTTTTAAACTGAAGCAAGATTGATTAGATGGAAGGATGGGTATCTTTTAAATGGTGAGATGCTAAGAACTGTAGATGAGCAGAGTAATTTATGGATTCCAGGCCAGAATTCACTACAAGCTAGTGACCGGTCTCAAAAAGAGCCTTGTGAAATATTGACCTTTTATATAAGGGCTGGAATATAAAAGGTTAGAATTCATGTTACAGCTGTACATTGACCTGATTAGACCTCATCTAGAGTATTCCACTCAGTTCTGGGTTCCGCACCTTAACGTTAAACTGGAGTGTAGGACAAATAACACAGGGATATGAGACTCGACGTAAAACAGCAGACATATTGCCACACATCAAACAAAATCAGGAATTTCATGAAGGTTACTCTTGTAATTTTAGTTTGTTATTACAAAAGGCAATTACCTCATGCAATCAAATGAAATATTGCTGTGTCCCCTTTTAAGACAGCAATTACTACATGATTGGAATGTATTTTGTTTTATAGACTTCATTGATCAGTCTTAAAGTAACTGTTGAAATCAGTATTGAGCTAGCCACCAGACAGAATCTACTGCTTTATTTGTTAATCATAATTCACGGAGGCTCTGGGAATAAGTGGTGACACATCTTTCGTGGAAATCGTAATGATTCTCTTGCAGTGCTGGATTTTTAAAACCTATTTGATCCATTTCGTTATACTGAAAAATTTATCGTTGCATCCTAGTGGCATTTGCAATAATTGTTTAACCATAAGCTATTTTTCAACTATTTGCTGTCTGCATTTATTAACTAAACATATCTTAAAATATTTAGCTCAATTTCTTTGACTCTGAGCTCAAACTGTATTTTAAATGAGATAAATATATAAATGAGAGAGTTTAAATATTTAAGAAATTGACACTGAAAGAGGGATCCTATTTAACTACTGTTGAGATCATGACCGCATCCATCTAGAAGGACAAGGGCAGCAGATACATGGGAACACCACCACCTGCAAGTTCTCCTCCTAGCCATTCGCCATTCCAACTTGGAAATATATTGCTGTTCCTTCACTGTCATTGCGTCAAAATCCTGGAATTCCCTCCCTGACGGCATTGTGCAGCAACCTACAGCACATGGACAGCAGCAGTTCAAGAAGGCAGCTCACCACCACCTTCTCAAGGGAACCTAGATACAGGCAATAAATGCTGGCCCAGCCATTGATGCCCATGTCCCACAAATGCATTTTTAAAAATGACTTCTGATCAACAAAATTGAGTTCAAAGATCTAACGAATATTTGCCATTTTTTCTGCAGTACCCGTGAAGCATAATTATTTTGTCAGAGATATTCATGTGACAATTTAAGGTTCTAAATTTGTAATAGTATGGTAATGAATTTGTTGATTATTTGGAATCTTAATCATATTTAGGACCAACCACAGAATTCCGAAAATGTTGTTCAATAAGTTTTATATTACGTCTTTGGCCCAGATTTTGTGGAAAAGCACGTAACTTAAAATTTTAAAGTATTTAAAAATATATTTGGCCATTTTGATTTGTAAAACCTATCTGTGCATAAGTGAAAGGTAGGAAATTGTCTTAATTTATTTCATTTGTAGCCTTCAATTAAGACTGTTTTTCCCTCCAACAGAATGCTGAAAAAGATAAAAAAGCAGAAAACATTCCAAAAGTGGTTGAAGAGTTGGACGCTGGAGAAACAGATGATGACAAAACTTCAGAAAGGACCACACCTGGCAAAACCCCCAAATCTCCATTAAAAGGATCCAAAAAACCAAAGACCATGCCATGCAAGGTGGCCCTTCTGGATGGCACAGAATTTGAGTGTGAAGTGGAGGTAAGGAGCACTGTCGCACTTAAAGCATTTTTCATTTTGAATGGGCCAACAGCCTCGAGTGAAATAGTAAACCAAAGAATTTTGCATGAGTACATAATACATAATGCCGACTGCATAATTTCAAACCTCAATGGTTGATTTAAAATATGACTAGGTTCAATAAGCACACAGTGAGTCACAAATTTCCATCTTTGTGGTTTATTTTAGCCTTTGTTTCTTTGACCTTTGTTTCATTTTAACAAAAAAGCTTTTCAAAAACGGATTGTCAATGGCAAGGAGGTTCCAGGCCCTATCTAATACTAGACCTTGGCCCTCATTTAGTTGAATTATGTACTGTGTAGCTCCCTGATGATGTGGATTTCAATTTCAGGCTGCTGGCAGCAATCCTAACGTAGGTCTTGGAAGAGTGGGATAGCAGGGGAAGGGGAGCAAGCAGGAAGGGGATGTGATTTGATTTGATTTATTTATTGTCATTTGTATCTTGAAAATACAATGAGAAGTATTGAATAGAAACGCCAGTCTCTGGCGCCATCCTAAAACATAAGAAAAATAAACCAAAACATAGAATATAAAGGAAGAAAAATGAAAAAATAAAGAAAGTGTCCAATTTTACATTCCTTCTTATTAAGTGCTGTGTTGTGGGCCATGGGCCTGGTGGCCAGGCATGAGTCCCCTTCCACGAGTCCACTGTTTGGCACCATCTCGCCTCAACCGTTGCCCCCATCGCTGTGAGTCCTCATTGGACCTCATCAATGCAGATGCCACAAATGCTGCCGGGTACTGCACCAGCCCAAAACGCGACTCTGCCGCTGCTATGAGTCTGTTTCAGGCCCACCGCACTAATGCAGCCACTGCTGATGCCGCTGGGACACTGACTGGGCCCAAAGCTGCCCCTGCTGCTACCTGCAGGAATCTGCACTAGATGCAGACGCTGCTGGGATTGTGAGGAAGGGTGAAAGGATCTGAAAAGAATAATGCTGGGAGTGGATTAAGCACCGCCCAATGTGATGTCGTACGGACTTCTGGCTTCGGAGGATAGTGTTGGGAATAGCTACGAATCTCAAAAGGGGATGACCTAACACCGAGGCCTCTAACAATGTTTATTGTACTAATGTAACTTGTATCTCTTTGCTGTCATGCAATAGTCTACATGATGTTTAAGACAGGAGCCTATACATTAGGCCATCAGGTGGTTTTCCTCTCAGACATTAGACCAAGCAGCACCGTTTCCTAGCTCGACTGGGAAAGAGGATGGCAGCAGAAATTGGATTTTGCACCGTAATGAGCAGTGGTGAAGGTTTGTGTTATAACAGGAGGGGCTGAGCACAGGCAGATAGCCATCTTCAGTATTACAGTTAAACTGGGAGGATTATTCTTGCATTCTAAGACCCTGAAATTGTATTTGCCTGAAATACCTTTCCCACATATTGTGCATACTGCACTGTGCAGAGAATTCTAAATTGTCAATTTCAGCATCTGCTATGATTTACGATGAGCTGCAATCACAGGTCTGAAAAATAATGGGTACTTTATGTCTTTTAAAGTATATTTGTGATAGCTACGTGTTTTTGTCAAGCTGATTCACTGACTATGTAAGTTGGCCTTTCTGTACACCTCATTACTTTGTCTCAGAATGTTGATGGTAAATTCTGATCACTTTTGGAAGACACTTACATCTTGAATAGGCATAAACTTCTGAAAAGATATAGTTAGAAAAGTGTTTTCTAATTTAGAAAACAGAAGGACATTCTCGGCACAATCTAGAAAGACCGTCTCAAAGGAATCTGCAGCAGAAACCCACAACCTGCAAATTCCTGATCCAGCCACTTACCATCCTGACTTATGTCATTGGCTCAAAATCCTGGGACTTTCCCTCCCTAATGACATTGTGGGTCGATCTGCAGCAATTCAAGAAGGGAGCTCACTACCACCTTCTCAAGGACAGCTAGGGATGGACAATAAATGCTGGCCCAGCGAACAGCACCCATATCCAATGAGTGATTGATTGATTAAAAATGGGAGGCACTGTATTTATAAGCCATGCTCCCAGTTCTAGACTCCCCATGAGAAGAAACATCCCCTCAGCATCTACTCTGCCAAGCCCCTTCAGAATCTGGTTTTGTTTTGTCTCATTGTTTTGAACTCCAGTAAGTATATATCCAAATGGCACAACCCGTTCCTCAAAAGACAACACCTTTATCCCAAGAATCAGCCAAGTGAACCTTCTGAAGCTGCTTAAAATGCAAGGTATTTGGGAAGGTGACCAAAACTGTACCCGATACTTCAGGTGCTGTCTCACCGATGCCCTGCTTCTTTAAAACAAGAGTTCCCTACTTTTTATTTTCTTCCCCTTCAAATAGAGGCCATTTGACTTCTCAATACTTACTTTAACCTACATGCTAACTTTTTTTTTGCAATTCATCTGCAAGAATACTCAAATGTGCCTGTACAGCAGGATCTCACCTGTCCTATTAAATATCCTCAAACCTGCCAGGAGGGCATTAAATTCTGCCCAATGTTGCCCATGCCACCTGATAACCCTGAGGCAGCGGGGCGGTTAGTGGAGGTACAACTCTGTGATCAGCATAATGTAGAAGCTGACCATCTCCTCTTTACTGAGAGTTACGCAAAGGGCGGACCAGTTTCAGTAATTGAGGAAGCATCAGAGATTATTGGAAGATTGGGAAATTTTCTGGTGATTGTAGATTAGGCTATGGAGGCAAATCATTCCAGCGATTGCTGAAATTCTGTTAAATTCGCACATATTGAGGAGGATAAAGAAGGAGAATACAGATCAGGCACAATTTATGTAATTTCTGACTTTGATTAGTTTTCATTCTGTAGCAGTGACGAAAACCTGAACGGAAAGATTCAAACATTCGAGGCTGGAATTTCAGGGTCCGGCCCCAACCCCACTCCCAGGATGGGATGGCAGGTGGGGGTGTGGATGTCAGATTCGGTACCATGCTAGTGGCACATCCCCAGTGGCTACTCCATACCACCTGCCACCTCCTTCTGCGACTTTAGCGATGAATGACTATTTCATTAACGGGCTTCCTGCCACTGCTGCGATTTTAACTGGTGGATTGTTGGCCAGGCTAGTAAAGATAATGCCTCCTTAGAATCTTAGAATCCCTACAGTGTGGAAGCAGACCATTTGGTCCAACAAGTCCATACCGTCCCTCCAAAGAGCATCCCACCCAGACCCACCCCCTACCTATCCGTGTAACCCTGCGTTTCCCATGGCTAATCAATTTAGCCTGCACATCCCTGGATACTATGAGCAACTTAGCATGGCCAATCCTGCACGTCTTCGGACTGTGGGAGGACACACAGACACAGAGAGTCTGTGCAAACTCCACACAGACAGTTGCCCAAGGCTGGAATCAAACTGGGCCCCTGACGCTGTGAGGAAGCAGTGCGAACCACTGAGCCAACCTGCCACCCAAATGGGACCCCAATTTAAATTGGTGGCCCCCATCCTCCCACCCTGATGAACCTAGTCTCTGTCCCACCCAAAAACTCTGTCTGGCTCTGGCTAGTCCTAGACTTAAAGGTTCGGACTCCTTTGGCATCACTGCTTTGTATCTGCCTGCAGTGGGCACTGCTTCTTGTGTCACTGCTGGGACAAAAAAAACTATCGACCCTCTGACTGACAATTCCCCAAAAAACTAAACTTGCCCTTTTTAATACGGGGAGGAGAAAGCTCTGCCTTGAGCCAATTGAAAGTTCACTGGGTGTTTAATGGTTGCAGGGCAAGCTGGCCAAACAGGCAGGCAGCCTGTATGGTAGAGAGTGGGGAGCATAAAATTCAGCCAGGATTCAGCATTGATTTGGTGGGTAACAACACATTCAAGGACATGAAGGGGAAAGGGAGATTTTTGGTGAACTCATTCTCAAAAATAAAGCCCCTATGACTCTTTTTGAGAGAGGCCACAGAGTAGCCACTCTCTTGTATGTGTCTGAGGACCAGAAATGTTGTATAGTTCTCAAAGATATATGAACAGGAGCTGAATGTCTTTTTACAATTGAGCCAAGTGAAAAAGAGGTGTAGAACACTTTTGATAACACAATGTGGAACTGGAGGAATACAGTAGGTCAGGCAGTATCAGAGGAGCAGGAAAGCTGACGTTTCAGGTCAGGACCCTTCTTCAGAAATGCATTTCTGAAGAAGGATCCCGACCCAAAACATCAGCTTTCCTGCTCCTCTGATGCTGCTTGGCCTGCTGTGTTCCTCCAGCTCCACACTGTGTTATCTCTGACGACAGCATCTGCAGTTCTTGCTATCTCTTTGATTACTTTTGAGCTTTTGGCAGGTTCACATCACTTCACTGTGAAACTGCTAAATCAAATTTAGATACATTTTGTGAGGTCACAATATTTTTCTGTTAACACTGACTGATTTATAAGTTGGAACTGACTGAACCTCGGATGTATTTTGGGTTGTATCTGAAAATTGTACATAATGAAACTGTATTTTTGCTTGTATCGTAATGTACTTGTGAGTAGTTAATTCTTGACATCAGTTGTGGTACAATGTGAAGAATTGGTTTTGAATCGAATTGAGTTGCAAAGTTTGAAAAGTGGAGCCAAATTGATTTATATTGCATTATCATAAATCTTTTAATGTGCACTATTATCTGAATGGATGTTTTCAAAACCATTCCCGAGCATCGGTTCATGTGTGTCATGCAATTATGTCTGACAAAATAATTTTCCTTTTCCTAGTGTGGTTCTGTGCAGTGAAATATCGATTTCCATTTGGAAAGTGTAATATGGAAAGATCCAGGGCAGAAAATGATTGAGTGTGGTCATTGTTTATTAAAGCTACTTGTATGTGACTGGCTGATGCAGTAGGTTAGTTCGTCCTCTCTAAATCTGCTTCATTTATTCTGTCTACTGATTGAGAATTTAACTCCAAATGTACCCTGGTCATCTGAATGGACCTGTAGGATAAATCATCTCTGAATTGATGATACTAATTGACAATTTTGAAAATG